AACCTATACTTTAAGAATCATGCAACTGAGCAATTCCTTCCTCATTTCTCCAACCCCCAGCAGGCCATACTAACTACGACTGGGGCTGGGGCTGGAACTATGCACACTGGAGGAAGGGGACTGAGTTAAGCATTTTGAGTTTCACTTTCCATAGTGAGTACACTGACAATAGTACCTCTTTGTGTTTTATCTGCAGGTGCTGCCATTGCAGCCTTCATGGTCTCTCTGTGCACACCCACAGAATGCCTGAGCCAGATAAGGAGCAGAAAGAACAGGACTCATGATGACATGTTCCAGGAGATCCTACAAGCCAGTGCTGCAACGGACAGTGAGCACAGGGCCTGCAGGATGAACACTGGTGACAACCTGAAGAAGCAAAGGGGGGAGAGGAGAAAGGAGCAGGAAAAGGAGAGGGAGATGCATCAGGATATAATAGGGATTCTCAGGCAGAAAACACAGATACTGTGGACTTGCAGGTTCAACAATCCCATGGTCACCTCCCTCTGCAGCCCATTGAGAACTCAATATCAGAACTTCCCATGCCCCCCTCACCCCAACATTCCATATAACATTAGGGGCTGCTGCACTACTGCTCCCCCACCCCCATCCCAGGGGACGTGAAAGACAATCACAGCTTCACTTACACCGACCTGTGAAAGTCACGATTGCTGTAGGTGTAGCTGAGATGGACAAGAATATTCTTTCCCCCTCATTAATTCTGTTCTCTTAATTTATTAGGTTTTTTAATTGTTTTTAATGTACCGTATATACTCATTCATAAGCCAAATTTTTTTAGTAAAAAAGGGAAGTACCAGAGAAGGGGGTTGTCTTATGAACGGGTATAGGGAGGGAGAGGTGGGACACAGCCCTTTCCCCCAACAGAGGGAGCAAGGAGAGGCAGCACAGCCAGCAGAACCAGAAGGGAAGAGGTGGGGCCAGAGTCTCTCCGCTTCTGGCCACGCTGCTCTCTCCCCAGCTTCCAAAGCAGCTGCAGCTCCGGAGCTAGCAGGCTGCAGCCGTGCCGCTCAGCCACGCCTCCCAGAGCAGGTTGTGGCTGCGCCGCCCGGCCCACCTGAGCATGACTGGCCTAGCCCGCCGGAGCAGGCTGCGGCCGTGCTGCCCAGCCTGCCGGAGCAGCTCTAGCCAGGCCAGAGACATCCTCCCCAGATAAGGTGGGAAGGGATTGGATGGGAAGAGTGTGGGGGTCCCGGGCTAGGGGTGGGGCCATGTGGGGGGTGGTCACAGGGGTTACTCCCCTGACCCCCAACTTCTTCCCCCTCCCCAAAATTTCCCTACAGTTGCTGTCCTGGCCCGTCAGGGTAAGCAGCTGGCGTGCTGGGACACTTTGTTTACTTAAGTTTACCTCCGTGCTTGCAGCTGCTCAAGGTAAACAAACCATCTTGGTCCACCAGTGGCTTATCCTGATGGCCCAGGAGCCAAAGTTTGCTGACGCCTGAATTATAGGGTCGGCTTATGAACGGGACATAAAAAATTTCCTTTTTTACTTACCCATCTTGGGGGGGTCGTCTTATAAACGAACCGGCTTATGATCAACGAGTATATACAGTATAAAAACAACAAGGAGTCTGGTGGCACCTTAAAGACTAACCGATTTATTGGGGCAGAAGCTTTCGTGAGTAAAAACCTCACTTCTTCGGATGCATAGAGTGAAAGTTACAGATGCAGGCATTAGATACTGACACATGGAGAGCAATGCCTGCATCTGTAACTTTCACTCTATGCATCCGAAGAAGTGAGGTTTTTACTCACGAAAGCTTATGCCCAAATAAATCTGTTAGTCTTTAAGGTGCCACCAGACTCCTTGTTGTTTTTGTAGATACAGACTAACACGGCTACCCCCTGATACTATATACAGTATGTGTTTTTAAATTACCCAAGGTTTGTTTTTGGTTTTATTTTCAATGATTTTGTTACCAAATAAAATTATTTGAAACATAATTCGTCTTTATTACTTCACAACATATGGTGGCTGGTGTTCAGCTATTCTGAAAATGACCAATTACCTGTTTCTGCACAGTGTCATGCAACTCAAGATCATTCACAAACAAAATGAATAGGTGCATTGACAATGTTATATGCCTACGTGTACAGCAATCAACACACAATTCATATCAGGCTGCAAAAAAGAGCATGGCCAGATAGAGCACACAACAACAACTTACGCTACTCTGGCTCACTATTAAAATGGTCTTTCAAAGACTCCCTGAGCTGTGGCTACACATTGAGCTCTTCTAGTAGCCCTTGTATTTGGCTGTTCAAATTCAGCAGAGAGCTGCTCCACCTCCACCTGGGTCGACACTTTCCCCCTTTGCTTCACTGATATTATGCAGAACACAGCAGGCAGCTATAACCATTGGGATATTTTTCTCACTGAGGTCCAATCTTGTGAGTAAACAATGCCAGCGTCCCTTCAAATCACCAAAGCCACATTCAGCGGTCATTTTGCACTTGCTGAGCCAGTAGTAAAGCATTCCTTGGTGGTGTTGAGGTGGCTGGATCACTTCAGCATTGCCAATGGTAACCTGCTGGTCAGGAAGAAAAGTCCCTGCTTGCAGCTTTTGAACAGTCCTGTGTTCTTAAAGATGTGAGCATTGTGCATCTTCCCTGAGCAGCTCACATTGATGTCAGTGAAGCATTCCTTGGGATCCACCATATCCACTTGCATAACCATAGAAAAGTGGGCCCTTTCTGATCATGTCAAAAATAGAGATATGCATGTCATCTATTGATCCACCTCAGTTTGGGAACTCCATTGCTGCAAATCCATCTGCTATATTCTGCACATTGCTGAGAGTCACCGTCCTGTACAGTAGGAGATGATTAATGGCCCTGCACACTTGCGTGACAAAGGCCCCCCCCAGTGGATTTCCTGACTCCAAATTTATTCTGGACTGACCAGTAACAATCTGGCGTTGCAAGTTTCCACAGTGCTATCATCACTTACTTCTCCACTGTCAATGCCGCTCTCATTTTGGTGTCCCTGCTCTGGAGGGCTGGGGCAAGCTTGGCACACCAAACTAGGAATGTAGATTGTCACCAATGCTCGTCATCCCAAATCTGCAGTATGATGCAAGCCCACCAGCTAGTGTCTGTTTCTTGGGCCCAGAAGTGGTGCACCACCATCTGCAGCTGCTCTGTGAATTCCACCCACAACTTTGAGTTGGTTCTCACAATGGTCTACAACAATCTGTCCTCCAAGGAATCGTCATGTTCCCTGTGGCTCTCCTTGAGACTCTGCAAATACTTACAGCATCGTGCACCCTGTGCTTGCAGCACTCATGACAACGGTGCAGACCTGTGCAGGCTTCGTGCTAAGCTTGGAGACAGCGAGGACAGTCATGCGGGATTGTGGGATTTTAAAAAAAGATGCAAAAATTATGGGATACAGATAGTTGCAAACTGGGAAGTTGACCGTATACTCGCGGTCACCCCTGCACAATTCGTTTCGGCCCCATCATGCATTGCCGGAACTTCCCAAAAGACAGTGCTCTGGATGTTGGCAAATTGCATGCTGGGATACCCACCCATGGTGCACCACATTGCATCAGTAAAAGTGCTCCTGGTGAGTACGAGCACTGCTGACACAAGGCACCAAGTATGCATGTGCACAAGTGATGTACTAACTGGCAGTTGTATGCTGCCATAACTTGAGTCGACATAAGTTTGTAACATAGACAAGGCTTTAGGTTAGTCAGATGAATAAAAGTTTAGAATGTAATCTGCTCATCATAATGTGCTGATTTTCTTTTGCATTTGACTTTGTTTCTGGTCAGTTTCTGATGAGAACAGTTTGTTCTTTTCTATTATAGTCATGCTGTTGGGTTTGTGTTTCCAGCACCTTCAGGGGAAGGTTTTTTTTTTTTTTTTTTATAATTTAAATGAAAGTGTGTTTTAGACTTTCCTTACTAGGTTTTGTTAAATCCTTTTTAATCTACTAAACTTTGGTTTTAAATTGAGTTTGACTATTTCCTCTAATGACTCAGAAATCCATTGACTTACTTGATTCCAGTGTTCTTTTGGAACCACAACTTTTAGCAAATATATTTGTCTCAGTTCATGATTAAATTGTACCTCTGTCCCCCTTATGATCTCCATGAGGGCATCCTTCTTAGTCTTGGGTCTGTAGTTCTTACCTTTCTTGGGCCAGAATCCCATGATCCTCTCCTTCCAGGCTGGAGTTTAGGCTGCAAACTCTTGCAATTAACTGTGATCACCTCAGCAGATCTGACTTCAGTTCAGCATTTGCAGTTATGTTCTCCCAGGGGGCATTGACCAACCAGCTGTCATATATCAAAATACTGTTTGTTCAGAACAAAAGCATTTTAGAGAAAACATCTTAAAAACAAACAGATTATATGCATGCCTTGTTTACTAGATGACAATCCATCTTCCATATGGAGATTCTGGAGATTTAAAGTGCTCCAGGTCTTTTCCACAGGGCCTGCCTTTCTTGGTCACACTCTCATGTTAGTTCATGGATCAAGTGTGAGCGAACAAGTCCTCTGGTCAGGGCTGATACTTTATGAAGGTTCAAGTCCATTATCTGTTAAGACCAGGCCATGTTAATCTGTGTGTTCTTTCCACCGGGGGGTGGGTGAAGCTTCATAATTCTTGTTACCTGTATTGATTCAGCATTAAGGTTTTGCATTAATTACCCCTTAGTGCTTTTAGTTCCTGTAGAAAGCATCCTTGAGCTCACTCATTGAACCAGGAATATAACTGGTGGCAAGCCCATAAAAGTACATATATCATTTATAAATTTAACATAATGTCTTTGGATATTCTAGGGTTCTGTAGCATCTGTCAAATCTCAATATAATAGTCTTGAAATATTCCATGTTCACCTGTCACAACTTGTTTCTACACAGTGATTAGGTGATCATGGATGTCAGTGCTATTGCAGCCTAATGTGCTATTCTGAATGTAAGCTAGCCTTGGTTTCTGTACTGCTGATACTAACTTCAAGTCTTTTCCTTTAGTTATTTAAGCGCAGAAATGTTGCTACAGCTGAGGAAGAAGCAGAGGAGGAAGTGATGTCAGATGGAGGCTTTCATGAAGCTCAACTGAACAATATGGAGATGACTTCTGTAAGTGAGCATGATGCTTTCAGAATTTCTGCATGCATATTCTCTCTCTGTGTAAATAAAATGGTTGGTAGGTAGGTGGATAGTGGTAGATAGTGCCATAGGCAGGATTGGCACTAGTCCCAAAGAGTTTATATTCTAAAATGGACAGATACAACATATCTGGTAATGGATCAGATTGTGCCAGAGAAACATGATGGAAAGACTGATTGGTTGGTTGGTTTGTTTTCCAAGAAAACTCTGGGTAAAATGTGCTGTCTGAAACAACTCTTTATGGATTTTGTTCTTGAGGCTGTGATGCAGAGAAACTTGCCAATATGTAGTAGTAGGAAGAAGGCCTGAAACTTAAGCCCTTCTATCAGAGGCCTGGGCTAAAGTAGCGTTCAAAACTTTGCTGCTATAAAGTTAAGTTGTGAGCAAGAAGTAGGCCCTGCTCACAAAATCTGGCAAGAATAGGACTGATATTGCAGAAACACACATTCCTAAGAAGTGCTAGGCACAGAATACATATGCAAACACATTCCAGAAGGGTGGTACCAGAATACCCCATACCAAGAATGGTACAAACACTTTCCCCAAAGATAATAGGAACACACTGACTCCTCCTAAAGATAAGGTCAGGATGATAGTGTCATTGATAGAGATGTACAAGGTCATGGGTGGTAACTGACTATGTTAATAGATGTTAACTATGTCAGAGGGACAATATGTAATTTGTTTGTACTCAGAGGGAGTGTCTTTGGCCAGTTTAGAGGGCAGTGGGAAGTCCTGCCACTGACTGAGCTGCGTCCATTGTTACGGGCATACATATATTAGTGGTCCAGTACAGTCTTCAGGATACTAGTACCATGTTTTGTCGACAGTAAACCTGCCTGGGTGCCTTCGTACCTTAACAGATCTTGTGGTCATTGGGTGGTTCGCTTGAGGTCTGCTGTGCCAACTGTCTGCGCAGAGCTGGCACGGCACACAGGGACAGCACTCATGCAGCCAAACATCTAACCACATATGTGATTAAAAATCATGCTTCATTTAGTTTGGTACAGAACCCACTAGTCGCTAATATCATTGTGAAATGTGTGAACACATACAATGTAAGGAGTTATGTATGTCTACTGAAAATGTGCTTTAAAGTCTGTATCAAGGCAGAGTTGACAAAAGATGTTTATTCACCTGTCTCTGTCAGCATGTAAGTTAAGCATTGTAGGCTAACACAATGGAGAATCATTTGCATATGAAGTCGTCAGGGGGTTGTGAAATCAACAGGGAGGCAGCATACTGGAAAATAAGCCAGGGTGTGTGTGGGGTGTTATCCTGATTCTGGGCACAGACAGTGAATTCTGAAGGATATATGGAGAATAAGGAAGATGCTCTCTCATCCCGCACTAAGTAGTAATCGGGCAGTGCGATTTACATTCATGAAAATGGGATTACAACTAGCCTTGGTTAAAATGATGCAGAGGACATTTGGGGTGAGATAAACTGCTTAAGACAGAAGGTTAGCCTGTTCAGCTTAGTCTCTAGAAATCGTGTTATGATTTTGTTGTATATGTAACCTTTTGTTTTCATTATTCTTACTCACTATTTCTTGAATCTTTGATAATAAACTTGTTTTCACTATAAATACATGTAAGTGTCTGATATTAAACTAGGGGCTGATCCTGAGTTGAATCATACAAGCTGGTGTGTTCACTGGCCCTTAGAAATGACAGACCTGGTTTTTCTGTGAATGTTCAGTGGATAAGGGGCTGGACACTACAGGGGAATGCTTCAAAGGGGCTCAGGGACTGGGGGTACACTACTGTTAACCTCAAAGGCAACGTAAGGGTTGGCATAGCCCAGAGGAGGGTGCTTGAGTGGCTCTCAGACTGGTAGTGTCGGGGAGCTGAAACACAGTTGAGCACAAGCAAGTCTTTCTCACGCTGTATACGGGGGGGCGGGGGCGCAGTATTAAGGTGACTCAGTCTTGGAACCCCGAGAAGAATCACTTTGATTTTCTAATTTTCACCAAAATCACTAGGGATCTGCCCATTGATGTTAAGAATGTTCTCTGACATTTTGGAATTCAGTGGTTGTAGTTTTCAAAAGTTATTGCATTACGTACAGAGAAATACCATTGAAATGAGTGTGCAGATTTGCTTTGCTCTGCCAAAAACTCATTAACGGAGTAACCTGGATGGCTCAGTGGATCCCTAATGAGATATAGAGACTCACATAGCTAGTTCTCTTAAAATTTATCCCAGGTCAGTAGTGATAGAAAGCTGTAACCATTTGTTTTAAAGCTTATGTGAAATGGACCTGGAGAAAAGCATGGGAGAGTGTTTCAGTCTAAATGGGACAGGTGCTAATTTTAAAAAGTACAATTGCAAATATCTCAAATTAGCATCCATGAAAATCTCAGAGAGAGAGAGGGGACACTTGAAATTTAACTCCCCTCTTCTCCTAAATTACCTATCTTGCAAAATATAGATCAGTAATTCTTCACTAATGGAAGTGGAAGTGCAGAGAAAGCTCAGGTATTTTTATCTGTTTCATCTATAACCCTCCTAGAGTAGGATTTGATGACTTGGTGGTCAGAAGATCTGAGCCCTTTCTACACTACTCCTTCCACCTGTGGACCTGCATGTGTGCTGAACTGTGCATCCTTTTTTTCCTGCTGTAGACAAAGTCTCCAGGTCAAAGTTGAAGGACACTGGTCAGAGTAGTGTAGGAAAGCTAGCACTGCTGCTGTGATGTTCATGCTCAGGAATTCAGTCATCAGGGTTGTCTGTCTTTCACCAGAACTAAAACCATTTATACTTTTTTAAAATTACAGGTTGTGTGAATTGAGGTGCTACAAAAGTGGCTTGAAGCAAACATAATGGACAGGTCTAGACAATAACTTATCCTAGCCACAAACACCCATCTATCAATAACTTTACTATTTCAATCCTCATCTTCCTTCTCCTGATAAGATACTGCCAGTTATATGGTGGTTTTGTGATGTGGAAAATGTCTGCTAATTTTGCTCATATACCTTAAAAAAAATTTGGATTCTAGAGATGAAAGGTTCACAAATTAGCACGCTACCATCTAAAGCCCTTTGAATGATCACACTAACAGTCAATAATATCACTCTTGTTGGCTAGCTTCTTACGTAGTAATAAACTCAATAGCACAGTTTGGCAAATGTTGTTCTAATCTTTTCCCTCTGAATTCAATCCAGAATTTACTAGTTTGCTTTCCCTATGTAATCCCAGAGTGCCGTCATCACCTCTGATATGATTGAGATGATTTTCTCCAATAGCCCAGAGCAGCAGCTCTCAGCCACTCAGAAATTCCGGAAGCTACTTTCAAAAGGTGAGTACTGAAGCTACTTAGAGTTGTAATGTTGGGGTGGGGGGGATATGTTTTATATTCCAGCTATTATAATAGAATCATAGAAGATTAGGGTTGGAAGAGACCTCACGAGTTCATCTAGTCCAACCCCCTGCTCAAAGCAGGACCAAGCCCAACTAATGATCCCAGCCAGGGCTTTGTCGAGCCCGGCCTTAAAAACCTCTAAGGATGGAGATTCCACCATCCCCGTAGGGAACCCATTTCAGTGCTTCACCTAGTGAAATAGTTTTTCCTAATATCCAACCTAGGCCTCCCCCACTGCAACTTGAAACCATTGCTCCTTTTCTGTCATCTGCCACCACTGAGAACAGCCTAGTTCCATTCTCTTTGGAACGCCCCCCCTTCAGGTAGTTGAATGTTGCTATCAATTCCCCCCTCACTCACTCTTCTAGTAACGGGATAGTGAACTGTCTTTGTGACATGAAAGATATCTTAGCACCATACTCTTCAAACCCCTGCCAGTCTCACTACATATTCTAGCATCAGGGCAGTAATTCCTTCAGTGTGACAGGTTAAAGTATCTGTGGGTCTGACTGTTCCTGTCTTGGCTGCTGTCTCCTCTGGTTTGGACTCTATAATCCTCTCCCATCCTCCTTTTATTTCATTTGTTATGCTCATTTTTTACTACTTTAAAAGAGAGGGTTTTTTTTTATTATTTCTGGTTCCTCCTTGTGTGGCTTGCTCTGTTTCCTGGCATTACTGTTATGGATCCTCACTGTAACCAGTGTTGTGTGCTTTTTGGACACTAACCCACTTCAGGATCACAGTCAGCTTCATAGCTACTGATACCTCCACTTGAGTGGCTTCCCACCTCTGGGACTGCAGAGTCCCACAGGAAGTTGGGCTTTAAATCTTGTGCCTCTTATAAGGCTAAAATATTGATCAACTGGTATGCCTTTGACACTTGAATAGATCACTCCTTGAGGCGGAACTCCATCTGTGCAAGCTTTATCCTTTCAGCCAGAAGCAAAAGATATTCACTTCAAAGCACTCCTTAGTATACTTGCATTCCTCAGATCCAAATAGTTTAGATTATCTTGGGTTTCTTATGCTTTGAGGTTTATGGTACCCTGACTGAAGCAGAGGAATAGGGAGTATTGTCAAGAATGGATAGCCTTATCGTTCAACTTGTGGGTGTGCCACAGGCTTTCTTGTGTAATTTATGGTCAGATCCCTCAATCTGCGTCTTGAGTCCCCATCTGTAAAATAGGGATAATACTTCCCTACCCTGTGAGGGTAAATCATTCATTTATTATTGTGGTAGCACCTAGAAACTCTGATTAGGCCATTAGATTAGGCACATGTGACAGAACAATCCCTGACCCAAAGAGTTTATAATCTAAGATAGAGAACAAGTGAATAAAACAAAGAAATGGAGTTGAGGAGGCAAGGTAAAAAGTGAAACAATCACATTTAGTCACAATATTCACTAATGTTTGTGGGGACCTCAGCTATGATGGTTTTGGAGGCCATATGAATATCCTAGAATCATAGGTTTTTAGGAAAAACAACTATTGTGATCTAGTCTGATTCCTTGTATAACATAGGCCATATAATTTCACTTTGTAATTTCTGTATTAAACTCAATGTCCTCTAGTTGAATTAGAGCCTGTCTTTTAGAAAGACATATTTTCTTGATTTTAAATATTTCAAATAGAGAATTGTAAATGGTTTCACTTAATCTGCACCTTATTTCCCATTTGAATTTGCCAAGCTTTAACGTTTAACCAGTGACTCTTGTTATGCCTTTGTCAGGTAGATTAAAGATCCCTCTACTCTCAGATATTTTCTCCTCAATTATAGTCCATGATGATATCACTTCTTACATTTCTTCAATAAACTAGGTAGTGGTCACTGATGGAGCTGTCTAAGAGATACCATAGGCAACGCAGGTTCTTCTTCGAGTGATTGCTCAGGTGTATTCCACTATAGGTGTGCGTGCTCGCCACGTGTACCGGTGCCGGAAGTTTTTCCCTTAGTAGTATCCATAGTGGGGGAGCACCGCTGCGACCCCTGGAGTGGCGACGATATATCGCGCCATAAAGGGGGCTGCGTGCTCCCCCCACCCTCAGTTCCTTCTTGCCGCCAGTGAAGGTAGTTGGAACTTGCTCCAGCGTTTATAGCCTTAGTGGTATCTAGTTCACTAGTTCTAGTTTCTTTGCTGGACTTTTCTTTCGTTGGTGTCTGGCTCGGAGCATGCCCCGTGGCCCAGGCTTCAAGTCGTATATGACTCTTGTTGCAACTCTATGCCCAGAAGCGATCCACACACTCAGTGTCTTCGCTGTCTGGGCGAGGCTCACATTAGTGAGCATTGTAAGATTTGCCACTCCTTCAAGCCTCAGACAAAGCGGGAGTGTGAGATCCGACTCCGCGCTTTGCTAATGGAGTCAGCACTGGCCCTGGCACCGGCGCGTCGACCCGGCACCACGTCTTTGGTGCGCAGCGAGGCACCGTCGTCGACTTGGCACTGCTCTCCCAGTAAGAAGCAAGGGAAGACTCAGCGGCGCTGAGAGAAGGAGAGGGGTGAGGCCAGACCCGAGTTGGGCAGCCCACAATCCCCGTCGGGACAGAGACCTCCGACTCGTGCTGAGCGGAGTATTCTGGTCCTGTCCACGCGAGCCTCGCCTGAAGGTGTGCATGCCTTCGACGCCAGAGACAGTTCAGGCCGTGACATCCTAGCCCTTCCAGTGCCGGGAGCGCCGCTTCAGTCGGGCCCCCGGTCCCGTGGAAAGCCACCTTTGGGTGCCCATCAGCCCTCCCCAGAGGTATCGGAGGTCAAGGTACCTTCCAGGGTCGAGGTGCCGAGCAGAGGCCCGCGTCGTACGTCAACTCCGTGTGCCAGCTTTTCTGCGAGCGAGTCCCACTCCTCTGGTCTCGAGCGCTGTAGAGTAGGTGACAAGAAGTGACACCGTTCTTCCTTGAGTCAGTCTGAGAGGAACAGCTCCCGATGCCGTCGGCACCGGCGCTTGTATTCCAGCGCCCGCCGTCACAGAGGCCGTGCTCCGAGTCGGTCCCGAGAGTCCCTGGCACCGAGGCGCCGTGGCCACAGACGCCGCAGGGAATCCAGAGACAGCTCCTCAGACATCTGCCTCTCGACTTCATCCAGGTCGAAGTCTCGGGGCAGGAGCCGTCACGACAGAGACTGCTCCAGTCGTTCCTACGGCACTGTGCACTCCTCCAGGACTTTGGCGTTGGCACGCAGCCGTCTCTTCCTGGGCCGCACCGCACTGCAGGAGCAACCAGCTCTGCCTGCGCTCCAGGCGTCCCAGTTCCACGCCGTGCCCTGGCAAGGACAATGGTGCCAGTGGGTACCGTGGCCTCAGGCACCCTCACAGCTGGGACCTCGCTCCGTGGCGGGAGCCTCTCAAGACCGCCCTGTGTCGCCTCCCCGGGACCGGGATGGCGCCGTGGACGCCGAACAACCGGCACCGACCCCGGGACATGACCCGGACGTCGAGCTTACGATGCTGTTGGTGGCTGAGGGCACCGCACCATCTACCTCTTCGGCGCCGGGCGATTCAGTTGCGGCACCGCCTCCCTCTTCTCAAGAGGACTTCAGGGCGCACCAAGAGCTGCGGTGAGTGGCAGCAAATCTTGAGCTCCGGGCCGAGGAGATGGAGGAGCCCTCCGACACCTTGTTTAATGTCCTCGCCTCCTTGATACCGGGGTGGGTGGCCCTCCCATTCCATCAGGGGGTGGTCAACATGACCACTGGCCTCTGGCAGTCTCCGGCCTCTCTTGGCCCCATTTCCAAGAAGGCCGAAAGGAAGTATTTCGTCCCCGCAAGGGGTCACTAGTACCTATACACCCACCCGGCTCCGAACTCTTTGGTGGTAGTTGGTCCATCACCATGAGCGGAATGGCCAGCCTGCGCCGATACCAAAGGACAAGGACTTGATACCTTTGGGAAAAAGGTTTATTCGTCTGCCAGTTTCCAGCTCAGAGTGGCCAACCACCAGGCACTGCTGAGTTGTTATGAGTTTAATCTCTGGGGATCCCTCCGCAAGTTCGAACCCCTTCTTCAAGACAAGGACAAGAAGGAGTTCTGGGCTCTGGTTGAAGAGGGTGCGTCGGCGGCCAAAGCAGCTCTCCAGGCGGCTTCGGACGCAGCGGGGACAGCCGCTCGGTCAATGGCTTCGGTGGTCTCCATGCGAAGGGCATCGTGGCTCTCGCTTTCGGGGCTGTCCATGTAGTCCCAATCGATAATGCAGGACCTGCCGTTTGATGGCAAAGCGTTATTTGCGGACCAGACAGATACCCATCTGCATGGGATGAAGGACTCCTGCACCACCCTGCAGACACTGGGCCTCTATGTCCCACCTTCTAACGACAAGCCCAGGCCTCAAACCTCTGCTCCTCCGGCTTGGGGCAGATACGAAACCCCGCCTAAGCGGCAGAGAGACCAAAGGCGTCGGGCCCAACGCCAATCCCGTTCGGCCCCAAGGCCCGGGCCCTCGAAGGCCAAGAGGCCGGGGAAACGGCGTTTTTGACTTGTTGAGGGGGGTCACCAGGCCTTTTGCCAGTGTACCCCCCACCCCCCAGTTAATAAAGTTGCATTTAATCAACTGTTTATCGGTTTTCCGACTGCAGTGGTCCCGTATAATGTCGGACCAATGGGTCCTCAGCACCATCTCCCAAGGGTACAGATTGCAGTTTGTTTCAACCCCCCCCCAACCATCCCCCGTCCCGGGAGCTGTCCGGGGACCAGGAGCATACCCTCCTCCTCCGCCAGGAGGTAGACCGCCTCCTCTCCCTGGGAGCTGTGGAGAGAGTATCTTGGGAATTTCAGGGCAAGGGATTTTACTCCAGGTATTTCCTCATCCCGAAGGCGAAGGGCAGGCTTTGGCCCATACTCGACCTGTGGAATCTCAACCAGTTCCTGGTTCGTTGCAAATTCCGCATGGTGTCCCTGGCCTCTATTATTCCATCCCTAGACCAGGGGGATTGGTTTGCGGCACTGGATCTCCAGGATGCGTACTTCCACATCCACATTTTCGAGGGTCACCGGCATTTCCTCCATTTCCTGGTGGGTCAGGACCACTTCCAGTTTACGGTCCTCCCCTTTAGCCTCTCTACTGCCCCCAGAGTATTTAAAGTGTATGGCGGTGGTGGCGGCCCACCTCAGGAGAAAAGGGCTGTAGATCTTCCCCCTACCTCGACGACTGGCTGCTCAAGGGTCGATCTCTGTCTTTGGTGCAGCAGCAGATGAATTTCCTGCTGGACACCTGCGCAGCTCTAGGCCTACTGGTAAACGAGGAGAAATCCACGTTAATCCCAGCTCAGCGCATAAGGTTTATAGGGGCGCTGTTAGATTCCCGGGTGGCCACGGCCTCCCTCCCACGGGACAGATTCGAGACGCTCAGGGCTCTCAGCGCCTCGGTCACGGCCTTTCCGGTAACCATGGCACGGGTGTGCCTTCAAATCCTAGGCCACATGGCAGCATGCACTTATGTGGTGCGACATGCTAGGCTCCAGATGAGGCCCCTTCAGCTTTGTCTGGCCTCCTGGTACTCCCAGGCCAGGGACGGCCTGGACAAGGTCGTCACGGTGCCGCCAACGGTGGTGACAGACCTCCAATGGTGGTCCCTCCCAAGCAAAATGCTCCGGGGTATCCCCTTCCAAGAGTCCCCTCCCTCACTAGATCTATTGTCCGATGCCTCGGACCTGGGTTGGGGAGCCCACGTGGGGGTTTTCGGGACCCAGGGTATGCGATCATCCGAGGAACTGACCCTGCACATAAATGTCAGGGTGCTCAGGGCCGTACGCCTGGCGTGCGTGGCCTTTTGCAACCACATACAGGGGAAGGTGGTCAGAGTCCTCGCAGACAACACGACCGCCATGTATTATGTCAACAAGTAGGGGGGCACGCGTTCCCGGGCTTGATGCCAAGAAGCCCAGCTCCTGTGGGAATTCTGTATAGCCCACGACATACTCCTGCGGGCCTTTTACCTGCCCAGCAAGAGCAACACGCTTGTGGACCACCTGAGCAGGGTGTTCTCCCAACATCATGAGTGGTCCCTGCACAAGGAGATGGCCAGGTGGATCTTCCTACTATGGGGCACTCCCCAGGTAGACCTGTTCGCCACCGCCCAGAATCGCTTGTACCTACGATTCTGCTTCAGGGCCGGAGAGGGTGATGGGGTGATATCGGACGCGTTCCTGATCCCATGGTCGGGGCCCCTGGTTTATGCCTTCCCGCCCTTCCTCGTAATTGGCAGGGTCCTACAGAAGGTGAAGTCAGACGGGGCGAGGGTTATCTTCATAGCCCCGGATTGGGCCCGTCAACATTGGTACGGGACCCTACTGCAACTCTTAGCGGCCCCCCCCTCACAGACTGCTGCTCCACCTGGACCTCCTCTCCCAGGAGGACGGTCGTCTCCTCCATCCCAACCTAGCCGCGCTCCACCTGACAGCGTGGCTGCTCCATGGTTAAATGAGGAAGGGAGGTGTTCTGAGGATGTGAGAAGGGTCCTGCTGGAAAGTAGGAAGCCCTCCACGCGTCGAACCTACCTGGCTAAGTGGTATAGATTCTCTGGGTGGGCGAGGGATAGAGGTTCTTCTCCCTCTTCCGCGTCTATCCAGCTTGTCCTCAATTACCTCCTGTCCCTTAGGACCCAAGGGCTGGCACCCTCCTCCATCAGGGTGCACTGGCGGCCATTTCGGCTTTCCATCCCCCGGTGCAGGGCCTGTCTGTGTTTTCACATCACATGACGGCCCGGTTTCTGAAAGGGTTAGATCGGGCATTCCCTTACGCCAGGCTCCTGGTCCCGCTCTGGGACCTGAACCTAGTGCTCTCCCGCCTCACAGGGCCTCCTTTTGAGCCATTAGCCACGTGTTTGTGGTCCCACTTGTCATGGAAGTTGGCGTTCTTAGTGACTATCACCTCAGCCTGTCGGGTTTCGGAGCTCAGGGCCCTGACCTCTGAGCCACCGTGTATGGTCTTCCATAAGGACAAGGTGCAGCTCCGCCCGCACCCTGCCTTTTTGACGAAGGTAGTCTCAGCTTTTCATATGGATCAGGACATTTTCCTCCCGGTCCTTTGCCCTAAGCCCCATTCCTCCAATGAGGAACTCTGCCTGCACATGTTAGACATGCGCAGAGCGCTGGCCTTCTACCTGGACAGAACCAGGCCATTTAGGAAGTCTTCCCAGCTGTTCAGTGCGTCGGCCGAGCGCACGAGGGGACGACCGGTGTCCACTCAGTGGATTTCCCGCTGGATCACCTCATGCATTCGCACCCGTTACGACCTGGCAGAGATTTCCCCGCCTCCTATTGTGAAGGCTCATTTGACGAGAGCCCAGGCCTTGTCAGCGGCCTATGTGGCTCATGTCCCTATTCAGGACATCTGTAGGGCTGCTACGTGGTCCTCTGTCCACACCTTTTCACTGCACTATGCAATAGTCTCCCAAACGAGGGATGATGCCGGGTTTGGTAGGGCGGTGCTCCGCCCGGGTAACCCTTAAAACTTAAACTTCTACCCGCCTCCATCAGGTATAGCTTGGAGTCACCTATAGTGGAATACACATGAGCAATCATTCGAAGAAGAAAGGACAGTTACCTGTTCCGTAACTGGCGTTCTTCGAGATGTGTTGCTCAGGCGTATTCCACGTCCCACCCTCCTTCCCCTCTGTCGGAGTTGTCTGGCAAGAAGGAACTGAGGGTGGGGAGAGCACGCAGTCCTCTTTATGGCGCGATATATCGTCGCCACTCCAGGGGTCGCAGTGGTGCTCCCCCACTACAGATACTGCTAAGGGAAAAACTGGCACCGGTGCACGTGGCGAGCATGCACACCTATAGTGGAATACACCTGAGCAACACGTCTCGAAGAACGCCAGTTACGGAACAGGTAACTGTCCTTTTTGGGGATGTTTGTAACTGTTGTAAAAGTCTGAACTTGGCACATGAATTGAAGTTCTGGTTTTGATTATAGTTCTGTTGGTTTTCAGCATAGAGCAGGGGTGGGCAAACTTTTTGGCTTGAGGGCCACACCGGGGATCCAAAACTGTTTGGAGGGCAGGGTAGGGAAGGCTGTGCCTCCCCAAACAGCCTGGTCCCTGCCCTCTATCTGCCCCCTTCCACTTCCTGCCCCCTGACTGCCCCTCTCAGAACCCCTGACCCATCCAACATCCCTCCCCCTCTCCTTGTCCCCTGACTGCTCCCTCCTGGGAGAATCTAGAAATAAAGAATGTAGATCACCCTTAGAAGATGGAATCCTGGAATAAAGTGACAGTGAAAAGGACTTGGGGATAATGGTAGATAACCAGTTGAATATGAGCTCCGGATATGATACTTTATCTACGAGGGCAAACATGATCCTTGGATTTGTAAGAAGTAGAATGTCAAGTAGGAGTAGGGAAGTGTTATTACCTCTGTACGTGGCATTAGACTATTGCTATAGAATAGTCTGTCCGCTTCTGGTGTCAACACTTCAAAATGGATGTTGAAAAATTGGAAAAGATTCAGAAGGTGCTACAGGAATGATCTGAGATCTGGAATACCTGCCTTCTCATGAGAGACTTAAGAAACTTAATCTGTTTTAGTTTATCCAAGAGAAAGTTAAATGACTTGACTATGGGCTAAAAGTGCCTCATGGAGAAGAGATTTCTGATAGTAGATGGCTCTTTGTGCATTTTCTGCTAAATGAATGAGATCCAATGGTTGAAAACTAAAGCTAGATAAATTTAGTCTAAAAATAAGGTGCAATATTTCAAATTAGGGTGATCAACCATTGGAACAACTTTCTTATGGGTGAGGTGGATGCTTCATCACTTAGTCTTTTAATGAAAAGACCAGATATTTTCTAAAAGATAAACTAAAGGGCAAAAAGAAGTTATGGTCTTGACGCAGAAATTCCTGTGGGAGGTTTTATGGCCTGTATTATTCAGGAAGTCAGACTCAGTGATTGTAATGGTCCCTTGTGGCCTATAATCTATGACTATTAAATGAAGAGGAGATGGTTTGGGCTGTTTTATCCTCACAACAACAACAAATCTTTGGACCTAGGCGATGTTTGTGTGGCTCAAACATGCTGCTTTCTGGAAAATTGTAAGACAGCTGCTCCACATGCACATGTGTCAGAGGCCGTAGTCTTTCTTTTTCATAAATGAGCCTGTTGGTTTTATGAATTGGCTTCTTTTCCTGTGTGTGTGTGTGTCTGTCTGTCTGTCTGTATGTATGTATGTATGTATGTATGTTTTCTCCCCAACCCATCCCCAGAATCATGGTGCTGGAATCCACTTTCTATGGCAGATGTAAATCCCTGTCCTTGATATGGGCAAAGTAATGTTGGTGTAAAATGTAATTTTCTTTGACAAAGAGATAAATTAACATAATGGGATTTTGGTGTAGTCACTTGGGAATTTCTATGCAAAGAGATTCTTGTATCTAATTTCACATTCTATTTTAAACAGAGCCTAATCCACCAATAGATGAAGTGATCAGCACACCAGGAGTGGTGGCCAGGTTTGTGGAGTTCCTCAAACGAAAAGAAAATTGTACATTACAGGTGCACAATATTTCTCCCCCCACCCCCTATTTTATGAATGGAATTGGTGATCATGAAAATTAATGTTGGGATGTTAGTAGCTAAAAGCAGGTACACATTAAGCAATCCACCACCTTCCTCCCAGGCTATGACAATGAAACTGAATCTTAACTCAAAGGACTCCTGCGATTTCAGCTTTAGGCCTCGGAGAAGAGGCTGAGTATGTCAGGTCATAGTATGGTGGCTAGGATGGGACCACCACATTGACTTTCTTCTGTATCAGAAGCAGGATTTGAATGCCAGCCTGGAAAGGTGAAATACCAGTGAACTATCCCACATTGTCTTGTTTCTCCTTTGTGTGATTGCACATGTCCATTCCACTTCAGGTATGTGCATGCCCAATGCACCAGAGTTTCTTTGGTATGACCTGCCAAGGTGACGCATGCATCTTCTGCTGCCTCGTGTTGCTCCATAATCGTATACAGTGCGGAGCCACCCTAGGTCCCTCTGATTTCCTTCTTACCACTTGTGATCAGTAGTTGGAGCATGTCAGCTTGCCTCTGCAAGATTTCATCCCTTACAAGGAATGTCTTATCCTTCTGTAAATAGTTAATGGTACTTGTTTGATAGTTAGAAAAATAACAAATGAAATTTGTATTAATTTTTCTTTTCCTTTGGTATTGGTTCACTATTGTTATGGGGTGCCAGAGCCCAGTACCAAGATATGGCTTGGTCTCCAGTGTTTAAACCTTGTGCTGGCTGCAAAAAATTGAAGCTGGTGAGTGACCCTCATTTAGAGACTGCTGCCAAATTTGCAGAGACTTTAAGCCTTGGATGAACAAAAACAGAGGCAAGATTACACCACATCTTTATGAAGGCCTCCCTGCATCAGCCTTCTGAGTCTTCCCTCTTGGGGCTTGCACTGAGTACTTCAGCATAAGTTGAGAATTGCTCCACTGGACATTGCCTTGGAATGCCTGCACCAATCCCCTTCCCTGGTGACAAAGAAGAAGCACAAGAGGTTGGAATAACCCAAGGAGCTGAGACTTAGCTCCACTAAATGATTGAAGTCCCTGGTAAGTACTCAGGAGGACAGGGAGTTATGTCCTCTGGCAAGAGATGCTCTCTGGTACCAATCTCTTTGAATACTTCTGTGCAACAACATCAGCAGCAAGAAAACCTCTTGGTACCGATGATACTGGAGGCCTACGCAGCAGCGCAAGATCTACTCTGCCTTTCAGTACCAGACTACCCCGTGGTACAGGAGATACTTTGGTACCAGGTGAGCTATCTTCAGGACCTGGGGATGGACTTACCTCAGGCTTGTGGTCAGTCCTTGGTACATTGAGCATCCAATGTTTTCTCAACCGGTGCTGTTTAGGAGTGAACCTACCCTGGTACTGATATCCCTGTTACTGCTATATCAGGAATGGCACCTATAGACTTTGGCACTGCTTGATTTAGTGCACTACCATGGTCAGCTGACTCAGGGTCGTCCTCAGAGTCGGAGTTAAATTCTTGTGCCTTTCCCTTCTGAGATAGACGATGACACTCCCCTTTTCATTGAGGGAGTTTCGTTACTGGTGCCTATTGCATGTCCCAAGACAGTCTAGATTAGGGGAACCTTGGAGCACTCATGGCTGTGGTCCTGTGCCATACCCATAGCCCTATTGGAACCCTTGGGGCATGCCTCCTGCTTCCAGATCTTCCCTTTTTAGATCTACTGCCAGGCGGCATGCTAACTCACGTGATGAGGTCCAGGAGTATGTCTTCAGTACTGAGCAAAACACTGTAAGCCTCTGAGCTATGAAACATCCACTCGCTAGGATGCAGGAGGATCAATCTAAGCCTCCTTTGCATTTCTCTTTGTCATTGCCTGATTGTTGCTCCTGGAGATACATCACTAGTGTAAGATGACTACAGGGCTTAGTGAGACCTTTTAAAGAGAGTAGCTACATCTCTTGATATCCCTGTTGAGGTAGTCCAGGAGAGTCCTCATGGACTTGTGGACATTCTGGAGTTAGCAGGGCATTCTAGAGTCTCTCTCCCGATCAACGAGGCCATCCTAGAGCCTATAAGATCCTTGTGGCATATGCCATCCTTGCTGCCTCCAACAGTCAAGAGAACAAAAAGAAGGTACTATGTCCTTTCTCAAGACTATGAGCATCCCGCATCAGGTTCCTTGGTGTCTTGGCAGTAAATGAGTGTGTCAGGGTTGTCCTTCTTCTACCCCAAAGGACAAAGATGCAAAGAAATTTGACATTTTTGGTAGGAAAATATATTCCATGTCTGGTCTACAATTTCACATTGCTAACCAACAAGCACTGTTGGCCAGATATGACTTCTCTGTCTAGGATAATATGCGGCAGTTCTTAGATAAGTTGTCAAAAGATGCGAGACAAGAATTCCAGGCTCTGTTAGACTAAGGGCAAGCTGGTGGCTCGGACCTCTCTGCAAGCATCCTTAGACAGGGCAGATTTAGTGGCTAAAAGCCATGGCATCTGCAGTATCTATGCACAGATATTTATGGCTTCAGTCCTTGGGTTTTCCACAGGAGGTCCAGCAGAGGATACAGGCTTTCCCCTCTGAAGGTCCTACATTCTTGTAGAAGCTAGATGAGATGCTCCACAGTCTTAAAATTTGAGGACCGCATTGAAATTATTGAGAATTTACATACCATTCCTTAAAAGAAAGCATTTCCACCCTTCGTTTCTACATAGATACCTGCCTTTCCCACTGAGACCGCCTGTCCAATCTAGCAAACAAAGAAAGAACCACGGGAGAAGACCAATCCCTTATCAGTTTTCTTCCTCGGCAGATTCTTCCAGACAATCAGGGAAACCCAAACTGTCTGTTGAATGGTCTTGTCAAGCACAGAGTACCAGATCACATCATTCAAGTTTCTCCTTTCTCTTATTTTTTCCAGCAGGGTTTCCTGTTTCCTATTTGCTTGCTCCCATATTACCACAGATGCTGGGTCCTAAGTAGTGAGGAATGGGGATACACCTGGCAGTATATTTCCATCTCTTCCTCCCTGACCCGTCCCTCTTTAGGGACCATTGTCATGAGGGTGTCCTCCTCTGAGAAATGCAGTCTCTTCTCTGTTGGGAGCTCTAGAAGAGGTTATCACCCTCCCCCCACTGAGGGAAGAGTTTTTAATCATATTACTTCCTGATTCCAAAGGCAAAAAACGGTCTCAGGCCGTCCTCCATGGGAAGTTTGAACAAATATATAAAGGAAATAAGGTTTTGCATGGTTGCCCTGGCCACCATCATCCCCTCCTGGGATCCTGGTGACTGGTACGCTGCCCTTGACTTGAAGGACTCATATTTCTATGTGGCAATCCATCCAAGCCTCCAGAAATTCCTAAGACTTTTGGTCAACAACATCTATTATGAGTTTACAGTTCTACGCTTTGACCTGTCTGCTGCCCCGCAAGTATTTACAAAATGCACAGCAGTGGTTGCAGGATTCCTAAGGAAACAAGGTGTGCAAATATTTCCTCACCTACATAACTGGCTGTTATGAGATCTATCCAGGGTCTGTTGATTAATTAGGACTAGTCAGTCTTCTTCCAGTTCAGAGAACGAATTATAGGAGCAATCTTGGATTCTGCAGTAGCCAGGGCATTCCTGACAATGTTAAACATTTCCATAGATCTAAAAGCTCATCTGTTTACAACAGTAAAAAATTGCCTCAGTCTACTGGGACACATGACCTCCTGCATGTACGTGGTTCAACATGCCAGACTTCATCTCGAAGTTGCCAGGCTGGTTAAAGTCAGTTTGAGCTTGTCATGCAGTGACAATACCTGCAGGAGTACTCGCTCTCCATCTGATGGCCTGGATGCTCCATGGATAAGGCAGAGAGTTCAGGGAATGTACAAAACACCTTCTACTAGAATAAACTTATATGTTGAAATGATTCTCCTTATGGTCAAAACAGAAGGGTGTTTCAGCAGTCCTGGCCTCTAGCCAACATGTTTTGGACTGTTTTTTTTTCCCACCTGAAACAACAAGGCCTATTGATTAGTTTAATCAGAATTCACCTGGCAGCTATTTTTACTTCCCACCTCCAATTGCAGGCTGTTCAGTATTTTCTGATTCTGCCAGTCTGATTCTTAAAGGGTCTGGTTAGGTTATATCCCCAAGTCATAGATCCCATTTCTTCCTGGGACTTAAATGTGGTGCTAAGTCAGTTGATGCGTCCTCCCTTTGAACCCGTGGCTATTTGCTATTTGCTGCATCTCTCTATGAAAGTAGCATTTTTTGGCAGCTATTACCACTGTGGAAAGAGTGGTGGAGTTACGAGCTTTGATAGCTGAAACTCTTTGCACAGATTTTTATAAGGAAAAGTTAGTTCTTCTTCGAGTGCTTGCTCATATCGATTCCAATTAGGTGTGCGCGCGCCGCGTGCACGATCGTCGGAGAATTTTCTACCCTAGCAACACCGGCGGGTCGGCTGTGGAGCCCCCTAGAGTGGCGCCTTCATGGCGCTGAATATATACCCCAGCTGACCCGGCGCCCCCTCAGTTCCTTCTTACCGCCCCTGACGGTCGTTGGAACTGTGGAGCGCGGCATAGCCGTTGTCCCCTCTCCCTAGCTCATTCC